ACTGAGGACCAAGGAGGTCACTTAGGGAAAGCCAGTTAGGAGACATTTCCTGAGGGCCGGTTTTGAGGATCCTCTGAGGTCTTCCTAGGGACCCTAGCCTACGGCATGAATCCCTTACACGGCATCTCTGACTAGCTTCTGCTTGAAGAGCTTCAGGGACAGGGAACTCACTACTTTTCAGGCAGCCTTTTTCACTTTTGGAGAGCTCTTAATTGTTAAGGAAATTTTACCTTGTGTAGAGGAATTTGCCTGCCATTCACTTTCTCATTCTGCCCTCTGGGGCCGAGTAGAACAGACAAATTCTCTTTTTCTCATGAAAAGGCAGAAGAACCAGGTTCAGGCACCCCCTCTACCAGTTACTAGCGCAGGAGATGATGCCATATGCGAATAACTTTGCAACCATGTGACGCCAGATAAATGGAAGCCGGTTATCATTGGTGTTCTCAGATGCCCTCTCTTTTCCAGAGCTCACAAAGGGAGTTGGGCAGACCAGATATTGAAAAGTGAAATGGCAATATAAGGGCGGTAATACAAGAGTGGTTGATGAGAAACGTGTGAGTAATTGCCAAATAAGAACACACAGTGAGCTCTTCTATGAGTACTTAGCTGGATGAGATTGCTATGAACTAGAATGGGAAAGCATCTTGGAGGAGGAAGAGAATAAGCTTGGCCCTTGAGAGGCAGTGTCATGTGTTGGAGAGAGCTCTGGATATGGAATCATGAAACTCTGGACTCAACTCTGGCCTCTTCTTTGCTGTGTGAACCTGGGCAAGTTACTTCACTTTTCTGGGCCTCAGTTTCCTCATCTGTAAAACGAGGGAGTTGGACTCATTGGCCTCTAAGATCCCTTTTATTTCTAAAATCTATAAGCCTGTGATCTATGAAGAATGGGTTGTTTGGGGTAGGCAGAGGGGGAGCTATGGGACGCTTCATCGGGCCAAAAGTACGTCTTTCTTTTATCACTAGAACTATAAAATTTCAGGGACCTAGATGAAAAAGTCTTCCAGCCAGGCCACATCTGGAGCCAACCCCACTTGTAGGAAGGATATGGATCAACTGGGGAGTGCCAAGAAGGGGGCAACCAAAATGGTGAAGTCCCAAAAGTCTTTGCTGTGTGAAGATCTGTTGAGGAACTAGACGTATGGTCTGCTTAAGAAAAAAAATTGCAGGGACAGGAATATTAGCCATCTTCTAGAAGTGTTTGAAGGGCTGTCATTTGGAAGAGGGATCAGATTTGTTTAGTTGGAGCCCAGATTTCAGAACTAGGGAGCGCTGGACAGGAAAGAGAAATTTAGGGTGCGTGTTGGGCAGAAGTGATGTCCAGAAGTGGAATGAATGGGCAGGTTCGTCCTCACTGGAATTCTTCACATGAAAGCTAAGAGTAGAGAGGATTCTTGTCCAGGCGTGGGCTGGATTGGATGGCCACTGAGATCCCTTCCAACTCTGAAATTTTGTAATTCACTGATAGTTTGACCCTCACGCAAAGCAGGAATTCCTTCTAGTACATTTCCTGCCAAAGGGTGGTCATACAGCCTGACAACGTCAGGGAAGAACTCCAGTGATAAACTTCTAGACCAATGGTTCCCAGACCTGTAAGAAATGAATTCCTTCAGGACCTCTGAATTTATCACTAGGGTTCCGTGCCCAACAATGTATTTTCTCAAGCAATAAGTACAAATTAAGTGTACTATTATGTGTGGGCCTAAGAAATATCTTGATCTTAAAAAAGGGTCCTCATCCTCAGAAAAGTCTGAGAACTGATTTTCTAATCAAGCTGATCTGTGTCCAATGCAGATCTTTCTTACTAGGGACTTTTAGAAATGGAAATCAAGTTTATATATGTTTCCCTGGAGGTTTTTATAGTAGTATTCTACTTTTTGCTAGCCCAAGTCAGAATAACAATCATGATAAGGAAAATAATTTGTGGCTTACATTTATCTAGGTTTTTTAGGTTTGTGCAGTGATCACAATGATAATAATGATAATAGCTAACATTTATATGACACCTGGTGTGTGCCAGGGGCATCTAGGTGGCCCAGTGGATAGAGTGCTGGACCTGGAGTCAGGAAGACTCATCTTCCTGAGTTCAAATCTGGCCTCAGACACTTACTAGTCGTTTGACGCTGGGTAAGTCACTTAACCCTGTTTGCTTCAGTTTCCTCGTCTGTGAAATGAACCGGAGAACAAAATGGCAAACCACTTTATTATCTGCCAAAAAAAAAATCTCAAATGGGGTCACAGAGTTGGATGAGGGAAAAAGATTGAGCAGCTGAACATGTACCAGTCATTGTGCTGAGGGCTTTACAGATATCTCATGTCGGGGCAGCTAGGTGGTGCAGTGGATAGAGCACATGCCCTGAAGTCAAGAGGACCTGAGTTTGAATCCAGCCTCAAACCAAACACTTGATACTTACTAGCTGTGTGGCCCTGGACAAGTCACTTAACCCCAATTGCCTTAAAAAAGAAAAGAAAAATGTTTTTAAAAAATGTTTCAAATATCTCATTTGGTCTACACAACAATCCTGGAAGGCAGGTAATGCTGTTATTTCCATTTTACAGTTGAAGAAATTGAGGCAGACAAAAATTAGGTGACATACGCAGGGTAAATCACATTTAGTAAGTCCCTGAAACCAAATTTGAACTCAGATCATCCTGACTCCACACCTAGCTCTATCTTCTGAGCCAACTAGCTGCCTCCAAAACATGAAGAGATAATTAGTGTGACTATTATTATCTCCCAGTTTTACAAATAGTAAATTGAAGATTATAGGAGTAAAGTGATTTGTGAGGTAATAAATAGGTCAAGGACTTAAATCCAAATCTTCTGGTTCTAAATCAACTATATATGCATGCCTATTTATAATTTTATATATTTACAATATATTTAAATATTATATATACATATATATCATATCAGTTGTGCTGCATGTGGCTGCATAGTATAGTGGAAATAACCCTGAACTTGGAGTCACGGGACCGAGTTCAAATCTCAGCTCTGCCACTTACTGCCTTTGTGACCTTGGGCAAGTCAATTAACCATCTGGGCCTTGGCTGACTTCACTGTGAAAGAAAGCAGAGTTGGACTAAATGGCCCCCTGAGGACTGTTCCAGCTCTCTAGCCATTATGGTCTGATATAAAGTAATTTAGAACTGATTATCTTTCCCACCTCTCCACTTTTCCTTTTTTTCCTGGGACCTAGATTCAGATTTTGGCAGCAAAACTCACTAGCAGGGCAAGTCCCTACTCCTCTCTGTACCTGCAGAAGGGGGAGACACATAATCTTGCCCTATCCGCCTTGCAGTGCTGTGAGCAAAGAAAGCACTTTGTAAACTTGAAAGCTCTTTTGGAGTGAGTTCTCATTATTATCCCTGGGCCCAGTTCACCCATGGATGGGGCTTCAGGTTACACATCTCAAGGCTTTCTTTGCGGAGGGAAGACTAGCAACTTTTTTTTTTGCCCTTTTTCTTAATATATGCTAATCAAAGCTGAGAGTCTGCAGAAAATATCTTTGCAAAAGGCCCCTCTGCTGTTGCCTTGGCCTTCCCCTCTCTCTCTCCCAGTTCTTCTCATGTCTGCCTCTGGGTGACTATTAATCCAGCGATTGGAGCTTGGGGGGATGTGGTAGTGGGGGAAGGGAGAGGGTAACAGAGGTCTGGCCTGTATGCATAGAAAGCATCAGGATGGAACACAGTTGAAAAACACTTGGCAAAAATAAGGGGTAATCTAATGTTTAATAGTAATAATACATTTTTTAAACTGCTATTATGATTCAGATCTTGGGTTAAAAAAAAAGTTCTGCTCTCAGACCTCCCTATCCCAAGTGGTCTGCCATGGTTGATGTATTCTGTTCACCTCCCTGTCTCAGAACCCCCACTGAGAGAGCAGAATGCTCAGCTGGGCTGTCATGTGTTATGTATGCTGCTGGATGTGTGTGATTGAGCCTACTGAGGCCGTAATTCACTGATTTGCTAGGGTCCTGGTAGGCCTCTTTTAGGAACAGAATACCTCTCCATTAACCCTGTAGACACTGGCATATGTCTGGTCCATCTTTATAGTCTGTTAAAAAGCATGCTTCTTAGATACCCTAAAAATAATAGCGGATAGGGAGTCCGAGGACCTGTATTCAAATCCTGCCTCGGCTTTTCCCCTGTCTGTATGACTTTATAAATAACTTAATTTTTCTGTATCTGTAAAATGAGGGGGTTAGACTAGATGGGCCTCTAAGGTCCCTCCTAGCTCAAAACTAATGAGTAAATGAATATTCATGTAGCAGTTTTAAGATTTATGAAACTATTTCATACATTATCTCATTTGGTCCCTACAACAATGCTAAAAGCTAAGTATTATAGGCATTATGTCTCTCATTTTACAGAGGAGACTACTGAGGTTCAGAAGGGTGGCCACTTACCCATAGTCATACAACTAGTATATGTTGGAAGCAGGTTTTAAGCCCTGATCTCTACCGACCCCAAATTCAAGGCTCGTCCCACTGTACGACATACCAGAGTCAACTCCAAAACATAGGTCATACCATCACTCAATTATCAAGCATTTATTAAGTGTCTGCCGTGTGCCAGACACAATCAAGATAAAGTAAACATTCCCTAATATCAAGGAGCTTACACGTTGTAACATATACATATATATTACATATATTAACATTTATGCAGAAAAAATACAAGATAAATGCAGGGTAGTCTGGGAGATAGGACCCTGGCAGTTGGGGAGCACTGGGAAAGGCTGCTGAGAAGGTGGTATTTGAGTTCCATCTTGAAGGAAGAAAGATTTTGTTAGATAGAGGTGAAGAGGGAGTGTATATTTTAGGCATGGGGAATGGGCAGTGCAGATACCCAGGCAGAATTACCATCCCTTCCATTCTCAACTCTGGGTTATTTTCACCCAAAGGGCCTCAGTGTGGCATTGAACAAGCTAGGGGGGGAAGTTGGGAGAGAAAGGAGCTGGCAGAGAAGTAATTAATGTACTGTTTTCTGATTAATAGGAAAAGACTTCACCAAACGCTGTGAGTGAGAGAGGAAAACTCTTCAGGTAAGAAAATTGTTACTTTTTAAATTTTTTTTTAAAAAAAAGGTTTTAATCTCTCCAGATAGAGAAAGAAAGCCAAAGAAATTCCTAACGTTATGGAATGGTTTTAGAGGACCTGCCTCAGGTTCTCGAGTCCCAAATTCCACTGTTCTTATCTTCTCAAAGTTCCTGATTCGCATTCTCACTTGTCGTCCATAGTACTATTACCCAAAAGCCTCCTCCCTCCAGGCTTTAGACCAGGAGATTCGTGTCTCTCCCAGAGCCTGGACAGAGACAGCATCTCCTTCTCAGTGAATGCTAGCACGTTTCTCATAGTGTGCAAAGGATAATGAGTTTGGATGGCAGTTCGAAATAAATAAATGAGAGCCCTGACCATAAGAAACTATCCATCGTGTGCGCCCACGAAAGGGAACCTTGGATAAACTTGCAAAGGTCTTGACATTTTAAAGGGAGATGCTGAATTCTGAAAAGGGGATGTGATGGACTCTGCTGGGACCCATGAAGCCTTGTTTGCTTTCCCTCCTGCTGATATCACTGCTCCAGATTGCCGCCTGGCTCCCCAGCCCTAGGCTCTCCATTTCCTGGCTGGGGCCCTGAAGACTTGGGGGAGGTGGGAAAGCGGGACTGGCCAGTTGTGTGATTTTTTAAAAAGTCTCGGGGAGAGTGGGGAGCGGGCCCCTGAGAAGGTTGATGCCTGGTCTTTCGTGAGCAGTTAGCTACCTTTCACAAATGCTGCTTTGAGGTTATTCATCTGTTTGGACCCAAAGGTATGTGGCTTCCTTTGGGGTGCCTTGGCAGCCCATTGCATCAAGTGTTTTGTCGTTGTTTTGGACAGAGGGTGTTGGAGGATTTTTGAAGTGTTTAGTCGTCTCTTCCCACCACCCTCCTCTTACTCCCTGACTTCAATTTCTGATCCCCTTGAGTCCAGTGCTGCAAATCTGGCATCCCCCAAACTTGAGGGGGTAGTGTTGGAAGATATTAGGGAGGGTAGCAAGAAGCCAACAAAAGATATTGCACTGCTGTCACCACTCCCTCCCAAAAGGAAGTGAAAGGCCTGCAACGTAGCTTAACAGTGCCTTGGGGAGATAGTACGGGATTGGACCGATCTGAGTGTAAAGAGATAAATGGTAGAAGTTGAATTGCAGTTGTTTTCAATCTCAATTTTAAGAGAGGAGTTGTAGTGTCATAGAATCTTAGGGATCATAGAAATAATTGTATCCTACGCTTAGAGCTGAAGGGAACTTAGAGAATGCATTCTAATTCTCTCATTTTACAGATAAGGAAACTGAGACCCAGAGAGGTTAAGTCACTTGCCCAGGGGCACACAGCATCACTCTTTCTCCATAACCTCCCAACCAAAACAGGGAGAGGAACTTTTTAAAATATCCCCATTTTCTTCTGGGAAATGCCACAGAGTGCTCTGAGGTTGCTCTGTTATGTTAACAGTAATAGCCTGCTTTTAGCATTGTCTTTGCCAATGCTTTGAAGGTGTATCGTAGGTAAATTCCAACACAGCTTTGCAAAGGCAGGCCCTGCATCTCCTCATCCTTGGGAAGAGTACTACCCTGAACTCCTAGGGGTCCGGGGAGTGTCCTGGGCAGGCCAAACCCAGCCCTGGCCCCGAGGCGAGCAAGGCCCTTGTTTTCCTGATGGCTGGATGTCTGCCTGAGCCTCTCACAGCAGCATCAGATTAAAAGCTCCATGCTGCATTCTGACCAAACCAAAGCTTTCATTGTGAGTCACACTCTCCCCGCCAACCTCATTCTAAGGAAGTTTATGGGAGGGGGAGGGGACGCGCGGAGTGACCGAGGCCCCGGAGCTACACTTAACCTCCTGGGATTGGGGTCCACACATGGCCTTAGCGGTTCAGTGTTAGTTTGTAAAAGGACCCGCCGGGGTCCTCCGTGGGGAGAATATTAATAGTGCCCTATTAGGGCTGGCCTTCTCTTAAAGACTGCTTTCTGGATTGGGCCCCAGAGCTTGCTCTGGTGAATCACATGCTGGATTGTCCTCTCATTTTACCAGCTGACTTAATGCTCTTATTTACTGACCCCAGAAGCAAGCGCGTTGATCATTCAGTATTGCTTTGGTTCATAGTCCCAGATTTAGAGTTAGAAAGGACCTTAGAAGCCATGTAGTCGAACCTTCTGAAACTTAGGACCCAAGAAATTAAGTGACTTGCACAGGTTCACACAGCTAGTAAGTGATAAGGGAAGGATTTGAGCCCAGATCTCCTGAATTAAGGGTGGGTAGGTGGTACAGTGGATAGAGTGCCAGGCCTAGAGTCAAGAAGACCTGAGTTCAAATCCGGCCTCAGACTCATGACACTTACTAGCTATGTGATCCTGGGCAAGTCACTTAACCCCATGGCCTAACACACCCCCCCAAAAAAAAAAGAAGAGGAGGAAGACCTGAGTTCAAATCCAGTCTCAGAAACTTACTGGCTGTGCAACCCTGGGCAAGTCACTTAACCCTATTGACCTTAGTTTCCTCATCTCCAAATAAGCTAGAGAAGGAAATGGCAAACCACTGCAGTATCTTTGCCAAGAAAACCCAAATGGGGTCACAAAGAGTCGGACACAACTGAATACCTCCTGAATCAAAGCCAAGATTTATAAAATGCACAAAAACTTTGCAATATTACCCTCATGCAACATCATGGTAAGAGGAAACCCTCTTTGTAATCCTTACTTATCTCTGCTTTTCACATACAGATGACTCTAAGGCAAAGAAAGCTAATGCAACGTGTTCCAGCATGAGAGTCCTGGACTTGGACTCATTAGACTTCATCATTATTCTGTATATACAAATTGTCTCCCCAAATAGAGTGTAGACACTCTGAGGGCAAGCACTAGCTCGGTCTCCAAAGCCTATCACAGTGCCTTGCAGTGGTAAAGATTTAACAAATGGGTGCTAATTGCAGATTGACTGATTCCTAACACCTTTCACGGTGCCTTGCAAAAAAATAGCCATTTTGTAAATGTTTGGTAAATGGATGAAGGACTTTAGTGTCCTGAGAATAGCCCTGCACTGAAAGTCTGGAAACCTGGGTTTGAATTATGTCTTTTACACCAACTAACTGAATGGCCATGGGCAAGTTACTTCAACTCGGGCCTCTAACTGAGATCCCTTCCAGCACTCAGCTTTTTCTAGTACTTCTTAAACTTGTTCCACTCCTGACCCCTTCAGCACTGTCTCACCCTCCAGGTGGGCCTCAGACCACATGACTATTTCCTATGCGACTCTACCTGGGCTTTTGTTTCTTCCTCTGATTGGTGCCAATGGCCCCCTTCACTGGTGTTGTGTCCAGTCCATGGTGTTCTTCACACTTATCCAGCTTGAAACTTCTTGGGGCAGTGGTCAGTGGGAGCAAAGGTGGTAGATGATGCCCTGCAGGTTCTTTTTCTGCCATGTCTGTAGACCAAGAAGGTTTGGGAAATCCTGGTTTGGTGGCTGCCATGGTAGGTGGAACCATGCTAGGTTTCAACATAACAGCCTAGAATGTTTCTTCTTCCTTCATGTGGCTAATTTGCTGCGTGGAACTTGGACAGTAGGATGAAGGAAGCACAGAACCGAACAGTTTGGGTATGTTGTATAGAGTGTATTACTAAAGGGGTGGTTAGTGAACGTCCAGAATAGGAAGCAGTGATCATGAAGACCCAGTATGGCTTTATGAAGAATAGTTCTTAGACTAATCTTTTTTCTCTCTTTGATCAGTTGTAAGACTTCTGTAAATGTAGTTTGCCTAGACTTTATAGCTAAGCATTGCACAGAGGTTTCTCTGCTGTTCTTATGGACAAGATGGGGAGATGTGAGCTAGATGAGAGTATAGATTCATAACTGGTTGAATGACTGAACCCAAAGTACAGTTATTAATCAGTATTTGGGGAAAGGTGTGATATGCTAGAGTCTGCCTAAAGGAGGGGGACCAAGATGCTGACAAAGGCCTCAAGTATATGTTATTTAAGGATTGGCCAGAGGAACTGGAGATATTTAACCTGGAGAAGAGAGGAGTCATGGAAGTGAGGGCTTCTGAAGGAAAATCCTGTGGAACAACTTGGTCTTCCAGGACCTAAAAGTCAGAATATACAGAAAAACTTCCTGACAGTAGGACTGTCTGTAAGTGAAATGGGCTGCTTCAGGGGGTAGTGGGTCCCATCTCATTGGAAAGTTTCAAGTAGAGATCGGATGGCCACTTGTGAAGGGTATTGTGAAGAGATTCCTATTCAGTTACAGGCTGGACTCCATGGCTTGTCTAATTCGGAGGCTCTGTCAAAGTCTCATTCAGTTTCCTGGGTAGAATCTGGCCACTCTCTTTTTTCCTCCTGTGATTCAATTCAGGATAAGTGTGCAAAACTAAGTGCTGGGTGTGTGTTGGGGGGAGGTGGGGAGCGGAAGCCCTAAGGTGCTTATCTTGAGACTTGGGAGGGGAGGAAGGCAAGGAAGCCTTCCTAGAGGAGATTGAGTGGGCCTTTGGCTGGGTGGGAAATGAAGGGGAGGGAAGACTTCTCAGTCACAGGAAAGAACATGGGAACTTTCTCCTTGTAAGATCATGGCTATAGAGCCAGAAGGGATCTCATAGACATTTACCTTATTTTGCAGAGAGGAAACCGAGGCCCAGGGGCTTGTCTATGGTTGCACAAGTGGTAAACCTCAAAAGTAAGATTGGAGCCCAGTTCTTCAGACTGCAAAGCATACCTTCCGCACTGGTTTTCTAGTTGTCTGTGGTCTAACTGGTTCTCCACTCCTATGGTTTGTATTGTGCTTTTGACTTGGCACTCTGTCATAATCAATATGGAATAGTGGGGGTGTAAGCAAAATAAAGACAGATTTGGATTTGGAATCAGGGGACCTAAGTTGTAGTGCCACTCTGACACAAATTGATTTTGTAACCTTTAGTAAGCAGTAGAACCTCCTTAGGCCTTTCTTTCCTTATCTGTAAAACCAGAGGGTTGGCCTGAATATTCTCAAAGATTCCTTCCTCTGAAACATGCCTGTTGGGT